TATGCAGATGCTAATTCACAATGGGGGCAAGGTTAAGGAAGAATAGAGTTACTTTAGATCAGGTAGAGGGGAGTGAAGGGAGGAAGTATGGGGTAGGAAGGATAGTAGAATGAATCAGACATTATTACCCTATGTACATATATAATTGTATGACCAGTGTGATTCTACATCATGTACATCCAGAAGAATGAGATATTGTACTCCATTATATATGATGTATCAAAGTGCATTCGACTGTCATGTATAACTAGTTAAAACAAGTTTTTTAAAAAGAAGAGGAACCATTTGGAAAGGGGGAACCTATTATGTTCACACGGGTATAATCCAGGATCAGGGCTGTGTATTCCACTGTTGATCTGGGCTGTGAGAGGCTCTGGAAGTGTTTGTGGCATGAGTGAGCAGGCATATGCACAAATAGCTGTGTTGGTCTCCTCTGGTTCTGTTGTCCCCCAACCAGAAAAGAAGTCCATTGTCCCATCTGCACAGTGATGTGTGGGCAGCTCCATCCCAGCCAACAAGCCGTACACATCCGTTTTGTTGGTCTTGCCCTTCTGGGTGATAAACTGAGACATGAGTTTGGGTGGGACTAACATGTGGACTCACCAGGATGGATAGCACTGGAGTAGCCAGTGGTGGTCAGATGCGTTAGCAGAACTGTTGAAATCATYGTACCAGAAGCCCAGCACATGGAATGGGAACAGGAATAGCTTCCATGCTGAGACACAGGCATAGGAACTCCAGGCATTTGGTAACAGCCCYTGCTGCACCCAAGAAACCCTGGAGCTCCGAAAAGCACAATTAGAAAAACAGGGGTTTGAGCCCATCCCCCACTTTTCAGGTGGGGAAACTGAGATTCGAAAAGGAAGTGACTCTCCTGAGGCCACACCAACCACGGACAGACCCTGAGCTCGACCCCAACATGTGGTATCGATCTTACTACACCAAGATTTTCTTCCACATCCCCCAGATTGCCCACCCCCTCTCAGCGTGGGGGTCCCAAGGTGGGGGAGGCACGTGGCTGTGATCTTAACAGTCCAGCTTTCAGTCCCAGTCAGGACACAGACCACAAAAACAAAACTCCAGAGAGCAGGCGTAGGTGGGTTGTTCAGGGTCACGGCCTGGTTATGCTGTGCCTTTTTTTTTTTCTTTCTTTCTTTCTTTCTTTCTTTTTTAATCGAGTTTGAGGTGGTTGTTTTTTGTTTCCTTAAGAAATGGAAAAGAATGAAGCTGCGTAAATACAACGATATTAACTCTGAAAAACCTCCTGCCATTTTAACTCTGTTACTGGAGAAATAAAAGAGAAATAATTTGTCCACCCACACTTAGCTCTTTCTGACGAAGGTAGGTGAATATTGCTTTGCTAATCGAGGGTGACTGCTGGAAGAGGAGCCACGCTGACTGATCCCGGATTGGGAGGAAGCCACAGCAACTCCAGAAGGAACTGTCCACCGTGGGTCAGCAGAACCCTGTGCACGGGCAAGGCCTGGTGTAACTGGCCTGCGTGTCCCACCCTTGCACAGGTCTCCCCCAGCCGGTAGTGATGGAGGCGCTGGACGAGGCCAAAGGGCTCCCCAATGTGCAGAGAGAGATGCCACCGCCCCCACCACCCTCAGAGCCAGCTCAGAAACCACCACCTCAAGGCACCGGGAGCCACTCCCTCACTGTCAGGAGCAGCCTGTGCCTGTTCGCTGCCTCACAGTTCCTGGTAAGGATGTCACAGGCCTCATGAGGACCTGGAGAGCSGGTGGGTTGAGGGACAGCCTTCCACTTCCTCCCCAAGATAGCTACCTGGGGAGACCAAGAAGAGGGGCGCTGGGTAACTTCAAGTCCTGAAGCTCATGTGAGGGGAGGGCAGGAATTCTGCTGCAGCTTCAAGAGATAAGCCCCTMACAACCTGTCTTCCCTCACTCAAGGATCAGGACTGCAGGGCCCCCCCAGACCCTTGACCCCCTGATCCTGAGGACTGCCTTCCTGTCTGTGGAAGCCTTTCTGGGAGGCTTCCCTTTTTATGTATGCACCTGTGGGGTCGTCCCTTGGTTTTGACGGCTTTTAGTCTGCTTTTCTCCAAGGAGAGTCCTGAAATCTCTCCTCTGGGTACACAGCGCTTGGGCCCTTCCCTCAGCTACCTCATCTGGACCTGAAAGGTTCAGGAACCTCCTTGGGGATCCAGATTGAGGGTGAGGCTGAGAATGTGGGGGCAAGGAGCCCGGGCTCTGAACTCAGCCTGATCCCCCGACTGCCCCAGCTTGCCTGTGGGGTGCTCTGGTTCAGCGGCTACGGCCACATCTGGTTGCAGAATGCCACAGATCTCATCCTCTCCTGGCTCACAATCCTGAAACCGCTGGGACCCGCGGTGAGTAAGCTCTGGGGAACCTTGGGGTGGGGAGATGTGTTAGGGGCCTCCAGTCCACCCTCCCCGGCTCCTGAATGGGGCTTCTCTGAGTTCAGGAGATATTTCCAAGCCCCTGAAGTTCTGCCTGCTCCCCACCTCAGACCCCAGAGATGCTTTTTAGAGCCTCAGCTTTGTCACCCTTGGAATAGACAAGAACTCTGCCCCCACCACCACCCTGACCTGTTTGTTTAATGTTCCCCAGGCCTGGCTGGGCGCAGGGACCTCGGGAGTCCCCAGTCTGCTGCTGGTCTCCCTGTCCGTGGGCCTGGTCCTCGTCACCACCCTGGTAAGGTGCCCCCTGCCCCAACCTCAGTGCTTTCCTCCTCTGGCCCTGAGGTCCTGCTGCTCACCAGCTCCCATCTGATCTACAGACTAGACATCCTGGGTGCTGGGTAGGACAAGGACATGTATCTGTCTCCCTTGGCCAGGATGCCTGGCCTGGGGCAAGAGATGCCTTCTTCCTAGAAACTGGCTTGCAGCCATCTGGGCTGGGGAAAGGGGCTGAAGCAGGGAGGCTCCCAGAACCCCAGAGGACAGGGAGGGAGAGTAGATGGAGGAACCTCCCACCTAGGAGATCAGAGTTCCTCATAGACAGCTCCCAGGAGAGCATGGCTGCTCTAGATACATGGAGGGACAGAGGGCCCAATCCTGTGGTCACCCCAGGACATCACAGCTGGCATGGTTCTAGGTCCATTAAGCCCTATATCCCCAACCAGGTGTGGCACCTCCTAAAGGCTCCCCCAGAGCCGCCCACCCCGGTGCCCCCAGAGGACAGGCGCCAATCTGTGAGCCGCCAGCCCTCCTTTACCTACTCAGAGTGGATGGAGGAGAAAGTCGAGGATGACTTCCTGGACCTGGATCCAGTGCCCGAGACTCCTGTGTTTGACTGCGTGATGGACATCAAGCCTGAGGCTGACCCTGCCTCACTGACCGTCAAGTCCATGGGTCTGCAGGAGAGGTGGGAGGGGTGGAGGAGGGGTGGGTTTGACGGGCCCTCATGCTTTCAGCTCCCATCCCAAAAGGTAGATGTCGACTCTGACAGCCCAGGAGAGAGCTGCTCTCATAGCCCAGCTAGTGCAGATACATGATCTTCAGGTGTAAAAAAAAAAAAAATAGTGCTATTACACAAGCACACCTAGGCATCTGCCGGTGTGCACATGTGTATACTCTCCTTTGCTCAAGGAAGTTCCGGTAGCTTTCCTTTCTGCATCAGGGCCTTTAGTGTGCCTGTGTTCATTGTAAATCAGCAAGGAGACAGTATGTAGCATTTCCCAAAGTCACCTGGCCACAGAACCCTTTTCTAAAGTGTCTCAGTGTTCTGCAGAGCACTTTGGAGGTGTGAAATCCTCTTCTCAGACCCTAACTGCGTAAGCCAGGTCTCACCACTGAGTTACCCCCACGATGTCAGAGAAAGAGCACTGGATGAAGAGGCAGGAAACCCAGCTTTTTGTTTCATCTCTGCCACAATGAGAGCCTCGGCGTCTCTGGTCCCCTCATAAGGACTCACATTCCATCTCTATGTAGAGGGGGGTCCTTTCTGTTTTGTGGTTTACTGGACACAGGAAGTTTATCCTTGCTGCCACTAAGCTGCCCCTGGGACTCCCTCCTTTCYTGAGGGTCCTGACCTCTCCTGGAGGATGGGTTCTTGACCCACCGGCAGCCTCGGTCAGGACTGGGCCCAGAGCTGTGTTGCAGAGGTTTGGAGCCATCTTAGGCTCGAGCCCTGCTCCTCTGACCTAGGCAGGGACTACTCTGGGGGCTGCTTAGGAGCCATAGGGTGAAACTGCCTCCATCTGGGACAGAGGTGAGCCCAGGGGAGGGCCGTGTTGGGTTGCTTTGGATGGAATCTGAGGCCCCAAACACCCACCCAGTTGCTCTGCTGCAGGAGGCAGGAGAGAAGGGCACAGAATTTCACCTCAGGACTGAGTCTCATGCACCTGTGACAGGGTCTTGCCACASTCCCACTCCTTTTCCCATATCCCTCCCTGTCCCCCATAACCCCCCCATCCTCCCCTCTGAGGCCCAAGCCTGTCCCTTCCCAAGATTCATTTCCTCCTTCTCGGTCCTTCCAGGAGGGGCTCCAATGTCTCCCTGACCTTGGACATGTGCACCCCGGGCTGCAATGAAGAAGGCTTTGGCTATCTCGTGTCCCCACGTGAGGAGTCAGCCCACGAGTACCTGCTCAGTGCCTCCCGCGTCCTCCGAGCAGAGGAGCTCCATGAAAAGGCCCTGGACCCTTTCCTGCTACAGGCCGAATTCTTTGTGAGTCCCCTTGTGCCTGCCACCCTCTGTAGGCGGACTCTCCACTCATATCACTCATCCAGCCAGCCAAGTTGTGGGTAATGCCCAGACTTGGCATCTGGAGTAATGAGCACCACCTCATTCTCAGCTCTCCTGCCACCTTGGGCAAACTGATTTTTCTCTGAGCCTCTGTGTCCTCATCTGGAAAATGGGATGAAATGATAGGATTATGGAGATTAATTACTATGTGCAAAGTAGCCAGCTGGGTGATTGGCATGCTGTGGTGTTCCTGGGTCTTTGCCAGGACTCTGCTCTGAAAGCCTCAGAAAGCTGAACTTCCTATCCTCCTGTCTTCCCACCCTCCTCCTGCCTGACATCCCTAAGCACTGTACATTGTCTTGACATCTCTCCAGTCCCCTCCCCTCCTTGCCACCTCTAAGRCTCTAGCTTAGGTCCTAATCTCTTCCTGCAGCGTCTGCAACAGCCTCTGGCTGTTGGACTTTGAGGGGTCCAATCATTGACAGCCCTGTTCACCTGCCTGAGCGCACAGCCAGTAAAGAGCTAAAACATGGCAGGTCATAGTGACACCTTTACGGCAGAAAGGGTAGGTTTGAAATGAGGCTGCACAAGGTACAGCAAGAGTAAGCTTCCTGATACCAAGCCCCAGAATCACACAAACTTCCCACCACTGAGGCAGTGTGGCCCATGGTGGACCTTGCCCCATGGGGTGCCTCCATCATTCTTTCTTGGCAGGAGGCCTCCATGAGGAGGAAGAAGAAAGGGGCTGAGGCTCAGAAGCCCACTTCCTCAATCAACTTCATCAATCAGATGACTCACCCACCAGCACCCTCAAACCCACTGCTCCAGGTTCTCCAGAACTTGACACCCTGCAGAAGAAATGGGTCCGCCTGCTTGATCTATCCCCACCTCCTTTCCYAGCCTGTGYTCCAGYCCCATCCCACCCCTGCAGGGACTGTGCACTTACAGTTGGGCCAGCTGCCCTGTGCCTGCGTCCCCATCCCTATTTCCTCCTCACATCTTTCCCCACCTGATGCCTCTGGAAAGGCGTTCTTGACAGCCAGCCTCAGCTCCCACTCCAGGCTCCCATCACCACCTTCTCCCCTTGAAGAAATAGCTTCCATCCACCATGTCCTTTTCTGTTAAATAGAGTATTATAGATTTTTATTGTTGTTGTTTGTTTGTTTGTTGGGTTTTGTGTTTTTTGGTTTTGTTTTTGTTTTTTTTTGTTTTTTGGGTTTTTTTTTTGGGGGGGGGTCGTTGCTGGAGATTGAAGCCAGGGCCTTGTGCATGCAAGGCAAACACTCTACCAACTGAGCTATATCCCCAGCCTGAGTATTGTAGATTTTTGCCAGAGAGCAAGGAACATGGCCTGAGCACCCTCTCCATGGGTAGTTTTGCACATGTGTGCTTTTGTTTCCTTTGGATTCTCACAACCCTGGAAGGCATCATGATCTGCATTTTACAACAGCCCATATAATGTGTCCAGAAACAACAAACAATGGGACACTGCGTTCAGGTGGTAAACCGTGTGGACAGATCAGATGGGATCGCAGGGGCAAGAGGCACTGGAGACACGTCCCAGAGGACATCTTAGGGAGGTGGAGCTGGGGTGAACCTTTAGGTATTGGAATGTTTTGGAGAGATGGAGAGTGAGACCAGAGCTCCCGGGGAGTGGAATGCCACAAGCTCAGCCTGGAGGCAGGACTGTGAATGGCATGATCATAGCCACAAAGACACGGGCACAACTGGAAGTCAAGAGGGGCCAGGTACAGGGAGACTTTGCATGCCAGGAGCAGAGGGCAGACATGGAGCTCTGGACAGAGGACAGGTGGAGGGGCACACACAGTCCTGGGGGCTTGGCAGAAGACCCCTTCTGCTGCAGACTCAGGAGGCTTCTCAGAGGCCTTGGCCTTTCAGATAGATGCATGCRGAGATGAGGGTGGGGCAGGTGTGGCAGGAAAGCAGCACCACCAAGGTAGGGACGCCTAGGGTGGGCACATAATTCAGTGAAGCTACCTGGTTTYGCTGTTGCACAGAGAACATGGAAGAATGCAGTGATTGGCCTTGTCACTTCTGTCTTGTTCTTCATTTATTCATCACTTGCTGAGCGTCTGCCATGTGCCAGGGTGGCCCTCAATAAACACTAGTTATAACATGTGTCGTGCTCTTGGCGTGTGCCAGTCACTATCCTAAATGCCCTACGTGTACTAACTCATTTAACAGTAAATGTGTGTTGAATGAATGAGTAGTGCACTTAAGGTAGCCCAAMAAAACTTGAGGGCAAGCAGCACCTGGTTAGAACATCTTCAAGAGCCAGCCCACAGCTGCTCACACCCCCATGTCCTTCTCCTGCAGGAAATCCCCATGAACTTTGTGGATCCAAAAGAGTACGACATCCCTGGGCTGGTGCGGAAGAACCGCTACAAAACCATCCTTCCCAGTGAGTAGTCACTGCCCTAGGGGTACGGGGACAGGCTCACCCTCACCTGGGAAGACTTAAGCCCAGAACTGGGCCTCCAGGGTGGCAGGACACTCATCCCTAGAGGGCACCAGATGGAGGGCTGGGGTGACCGGTGAAGGGAAAGCCTCCCTAGCAGGAGGCCAAGGTCAGTTCATTTTCTCACACAGCCCTTGGCCTGGCCCTTGCCTGGCCTGGCCAAGTGTTGTGCTGGGCTCTATAGAAACCCAGAGACAAAGGGTAGCTCCTAGATAGTATATAGTGACTGAAAAGTGTTTTCCCATCCTCTTCTCTCTTCAGAATGGGCAGGTTTTAAGGAGAGGACATTAAGGCTCAGAGAGGCTCAGTGGCTCATCCACAGTCACATAGCTGGGAAGTACAGAGCTGAGTTTGGTGACCCCAGAATTGGACTCTTCRTCTACCTCATGTTCCATTTGATCAGATTGTCAGTTCTCCATCAGGTAGAGCCACCCCACAGRGGAATGAGCTGCCCCTGTCAAGTCGTGAGGTCCCATCACACAGTGCATCCAAGCGAATCTGCCTGGAGCAGTCCCCTGGAAGGTCTGAGAAGGGGGTTCTCCTTTGGGGGTGCATTCCAGTTTCCTCCCCGTGGCACCATTTTCAGATAACTTCCATCAAATCCCTGACTGTCTACTACAGGGATTGGGGCCAGGTGTCTGGCCCCAGGCACCTGGGCTAACCTGGGGGTAACTTGTTGAAAGTGGAGCCCCCAAAACCTACTCCACTCAATTTGTAGAGTAGTGAAGCTTTAAAAAAGCGGTTTCGCTGTCAGCATCTCCAATAACATGTAAGATGTCATAACTTATTTTTAACTTTTAAAATATCGACTTGTGGTTGCTATAGTTACACAGTCTCTAGGTAGTTCCGGTTAAACAAAGCACCATTTATGGCCAGGATGCATTACTCAGGGCTGCCACCTCTTCCCTCATCTCTCCCTCCCCTTCCCAACTCTACCTGGAAGGAGGGGTGGGGGCACCCCAGAGTGGAGAGGAGGGCTTTGCCGGCTACTCAGAATGGCCACGGGAGTCAGACCGTGCTCCACGTGGTCCTCACTGGATTGCTGACAGGTTCCAGCCACCCTGGTTCCAACCCTGCCCGAGCCTCCAGGCTTCCAAGCCAGCCCAGCAGAGAATCTTATCTGTGTCCAACAAGAACAGATCCTTCACCCTCAGAGACTGGGTTGGGGGACAGAGGGCAGGTCAAGCTTAGCAGAGGCCCCCCTCTTAGATGCAGAACACCCTGAGGTTTCTTCTCTCATCTGTGTTTTCTGAGCCCCTGCCTGGGGTCTAAGAATTCAGACACAAATGAGACACAGATTCTGTGCACTTGGAGCTCCCAGGCTAGTAGGAGAGAGAGGTCTATGGACAGTCAGAGGAATCACTAACCCCAGCAGCACCAAGAGCAAGATACGGGGACACAATTTCTGTTCTTATCACCATGGTGTCCCAAGTACCAAAATAGTGTCTGACACACAGTAGGTATTCTGCACCCATTTGAATGAATGAAYGAATGAGTGAGAATGAATATCTTTCAAATCTCACTCCCCTCTCCATCCTCACCACAAAGTGACTTTTTGGAGTTGGAGCTTCCATGTTGCCCCATCCTAAGGGATGCCATTTACATAGACTGCATTGACATAAATGCTCCACAGAGCCCTGCCATGCCAGGCAGCCCTGTGACCTTTGATATTTCTTTCTTGGATCATCATAGTAATTTCCTGACTGGTCTCCTGACTCCACATTCTCCTCTCCTGTCTGTCTTCTACTCTTGCCATCAGAATGGTACAAAACAAATCTAACCATGTCCTTCTCCTCCTTAAACAGTGTCATTGTCACCCTATCTAAGCATAGTTTATGAGACTCTGGCCGCTGGTTCCTCTCCAGCCACATCTCTCACCAGTCCCAGCCTTGGCCCTGTGTGCACTTGTGTCTGACAGGACAGGATTCCCTGTTCTTTCTGCTCCAGCCAGGAAACCTACCCACCCACCCAGGCCCCCGCTGTTACCACAGCCCCAGTGCTCACACGCCACTACTTACTTGTCTGCCTCCCGCTATGCCTTCTTTGGGGGAGGGACCATGGCTTATTGCTTTAGGAGTCCCTTCTCACATGCACAGCCCCAGGCACAGAGTCAGTGCTCCATAAGGGCCATGATTGCCACAATGGTTCTTTAATACCAAAGACCTGGGTATCTGACCAGAGGGGACAGTGCCCACTTCTGTCTTTCTGGCACCTAATCTGGGCAAGGGCAGCTAGRAAGAAGGGAGATGGCCCAGGCAGAGCTTCCTGCTCCTCTCCTCTGCTGGTCACCCAGAAGCCCCCTCCTGCTYACCCTCACTCCTCTCCATTCCTGCCACCCTTCTGTGCCCCTCTCCATGAAATCTACCAAACCCCCGAGACACTGACCAAGATCCAGAGAGTGGACTGGGACAAGCAGAGGGCTGGAGGGGAGAGACTTAAGCACGTCCCCTCCTGCTGCTCCAGGTTTGCTTCTTTCTATCCACTCAGTTAAGGTAAAACTTGTAAAAATGGTCCCAAGAGCAGCTAGTTCGTGGTGTCTACTGTGGCCCACATTAYTTTCTGATCTAAAGGCTCCATTTATTAATGTTAGATCCTTTAACCTTTACAAGATAAATGAGTTCACTGTAGAAGGAGGATGTCCCCAGTTGTAGATAAGGCAGGAGAGGTTAAGTAAATGGTCCATGTTGACAAGCTGGGAAGTCATAGAGCCAGGATTTGGACCAGGCTCTCTGGCTCAGTCATGTCTCTTAATGACACCCCCACACTGCCTTTGAGAGCCCCATCATGTGCACACTGGCAGCGCCTTTCCAGCCCTCCCTATTGCAGTAGAGAAACTGAGATTCAGAGAGGGGACAAGACAGGAGGCTGGTGACAAAGCACAACCAGGACCCAATGCTCCAGGCCCCCAGCCAGCTTCCCTACACACCCCACAGAACGTCCCAATCCCAGCCTCTCAAGACTAGTCAATACAGGGAGGCTCTGGCTGGAACAAAACAAATTCTACTCCAGGAAGAAGAACAAGATGTTAAGGGAATCTGTTACCATGGAATTTGACAAGTAAAAAGATTGTGGGAGGAGACCCTTTGTGCTCACAACTCTACAAAGACCCTCCAGTCTCATTTCAGACATGGGAAACTTGACCTTTTTCTCCCAGTATTCTTCTCAGCTTTCTACCCCCAAATCTTAACAGCCCTTATATTTWCAAAGAATTTCACAGTTTATTCAGCACTTCCACCTCTGTTTTCTCATTTATTTTCCCAATAGCTCTAGGAAGGAGGTATACTTACCCCCATGTTATAGATGAGAAAACTGAGGCTTARAAAGGYCATGTGCTTTATAAGCTCACAGAGAAGTCGGTGACAGTGTGTTCTCATACTCCAGCTGCTGCCTGCTGCCCAGGTGCTGTACCCAGGCCATTCCTTCCTTAACTAGCTCTCTTCACTCCAGAATACAAGGTGCGAGTGAGTACAGGACAGCTTCAGGGGCAGAGGGCAGGCAYTGAGGTGAGACCCAGGGCCTCTTTCTCTGTCCTCCTCTTCATCCTGGATCATCACCTGCCTGAAYGGACCGAGGATGGGTCATCATTTTGCTAGTGTGCAGGAGAAGGAAGAACTGTAGGATCGCAGAAGAAATGTGGTGCTTTGGAGTAGACCAGGAATGGTGGGCCCTAGCAGCACCCATGAGGGGGTTAAGTGAGCTAGAGATGGGWTAGCCTCCCCTGTCCCCCACAGATCCTCATAGCAGAGTGTGTCTCACCTCGCCCGACCCTGATGATCCTCTGAGTTCCTACATCAACGCCAACTACATCCGGGTATGTAGCCCCATCCCARTGGCCTCCCACTGAAAGAGAGGCCTGAGCTGATGGGACCCCATCCTCCAATCTGGCTCCTGCAAACCCCAGAAAAGCCTGGGATGGGGACAGGACCCTGAGAGCACTGCCTCTAACATTGACCTTGGACTTGGCTGGCCACAGGGCTACGGTGGGGAGGAGAAGGTATACATCGCCACACAGGGACCCATTGTCAGCACGATCGCTGACTTCTGGCGCATGGTGTGGCAGGAGCACACACCCATCATTGTCATGATCACCAACATCGAGGAGATGAACGAGGTAGGGACCCCACTTTGCCAGTGTCTGCTTTTTTGTGCCCTACACCAAGCATCTTGTTTTCATATTAATCCTTATGACAATCTTGTGAGACTGGTAGTGTTCGCTCCCCTGGCCAGATGAGGAGATGTGAGGCTCAGTAAGGTTAAATCATTTGCTCAGTGCCACACACTCAGAGGCAACGCCTAGACCTGGTCTCTCCCACTCCAGTGCACATGATCGTAAGTACAAGGCTGCCAGGACTATGTCTATATGGAATAGTAACCCATTCAATTGAATCCCCATAGAAGTCTTTCAAAATGGGTATTATTTCCATTTTCAGATGGGAAAACTTGAGGCTCAGAGAAGACAATTAGCTTTTAGATGATGAAGCTGAGGTTTACACCCAGGGTTAACAGCAAACTTGTATATTCCTCAGCTCTGAAGAATCATAGCGAGAGAATAAGAGGGAAGCAGGGTTGGGGGTGGGATATATCCAAACCTGATCTGGGCCCCTGCAGAAATGCACTGAGTATTGGCCAGAGGAGCAGGTGGTGCACGACGGCGTGGAGATCACTGTGCAGAAAGTCATTCACACAGAGGATTACCGGCTACGACTCATCTCCCTCAGGGTGAGACTGGGGCTGGGCTGGGCTGGGGGGATGGGGGATGGGGGTTTAATTGAGGACACCACAGAGAACAAGGCCCAAGAGTACAATGTAGCTGATGTAAAGGTCTCTGTCACTCCAAGAATTCACTGATGAGCTAGGGTGAGGGAGTGGTGAATGGAAAGGCCAGACCAAACCCCCGTTGCATTTCCCAAACTGTGGTTGCATTTAATGCTGTTGGGCTCATTCTCTACRCTGCCATTCATAATGACTTTTAGCTCAGCTTTAAATGCTCCCTAGGCCAAGACTGGGTGAGAGAAATCAGCAACCTCCAGCATTGTCCTTATAACTAAAGGCTCATTATGACTTTGAGTTCCAAACTAGAAACATCACTTCAACTGGGATGCTGGGCTTCTGGTATGCAATACCCAATATGTCCACCAGGGGTCAGGCGCTTCCATGGTTAACAGAAAATGTCAAGAAAAAGGAAGCTACACAAAATATGAGCAATACAAAACAGAGTCGGGGAAGGCATCCTCCCACCCTGGAGYTGTACTTCCTCCAGTATCAGCATAACAGAAGAGACTGTTCCTTTGGAATCAGGGAGATTAATAAGTTCTGGTTTTGAGAAACGATAAGATTCAAGTTTGGGGGAAGTAGACTCTAATAATAACAACTCCGAAGGGAAGAAGAGGTGAGGCAGGCACCAAGAAGGTGACACCCAATCTGCAAGCAACCTGGGAAGTCCATTAGTGATGACAGCCACAGGGTCCAGCCACAKAAAGTGAGCTCAAGGCCTGAAACTTGTCCCTCTGAGCTGTCCCTCTTTCACTGTAAAGGGATGTCAGGGGGCACCTCAGCCCCCAGAGGGGAGTACCCACCTTAGCAGCCCCTATAGATCTTTCTGGAGGGCATGAAGGGCCAGGGAGTAAAGATCAGAAGTTATAGTAGTTGTCACAGCCAAGTTACCCAAGGACCTGAGGAACAGCTTTCAAGTAGAAATTTCCCAGAAAGAAAGACTGAGATGAGAGGGTTGGGGGCTGCCTCATTTTCTCAATGCCATGGAGCTGGTCAAAGGAAAAAAAAACAGGGCATCTGAGGTTAGATGGTATTTATTTTTGTCCATAAACCATTAAAAGCACCTGCCTGAGCTTGGTTTTGGGTTGGATCCTGGGAACACAGCTGTCCAAAGCCTGAACTCTGGTCAAGAAGCACACAGAAGATGATAAGGAAGCTAGAGATAGATAAGAATGCAGAAGGACTCTCTGCTAGCTGGCATGCTCAGGGAGATGCTGAAGTAGGGATGCTGAATGGACACTCAAAGGATGAGTAAGAGTTGACTGAGGACAGACTAGCAGGAGAAGCATTCTCAGCAGAGAAACAGCTCTGTGTGTGTATGTGTGTRTGTTTGCGCGTGCRCTAGTGGGCATGTGCACGCATCCAGGTGCTGTGCTACAGATATTTTATCCACAGACCATTTTCGGAAGCATCCAATCCAAGTACACAGGGTGACATATATGCCTGGAAGGGTAGAGCCTATGCCAGAGGTCTCATTTGCCAAGCTAAGAACTAGGGGGAATGGGTTTTTTTCAGAGAGCAATAAGAGCCATTGAAGGGTGTCTTAGTCTGTGCAGGCTGCTATAACAAACACCACAGACAGAGTGGCCTATAAATGACAGGCTTATTTCTCACAATTCTAGAGGCTGGGGAGTCTGAGATCAAAGCAGCAGCATGGTCAGGTTCTGATGAGGGCCCACTTCCTGGTTCATGGCAAAAGGATGAAGCTCTCTGGAGCCTTTATATAAATACTTGAATCCCATTCACGAGAGTTCTGCCCTCAGGACTGAATCACCTTCCAAGGGCACTCACACTGGGAATTAGGTTTCAATGTGTGAATTTGGTGTGGGGAGATGGGGGGGGGGACACATTCAGTCCATAGCAAAGGATTTTAAGCACAGGGTGGCAAGTCCAGATTTGTGTTATGGACAGACCACTTCAACCTCTGTGGTCCCTGTGTGGTTAGGGAGGAGACGGGATCTCAGTGCAGTGGAGAGATGGTAAAGGTCAAAGTGGAGAGGAAATAACACCTAATAAGGATGGTGAAATGAGGCAAGCAGAGCAAAATCTGGAGAAAGGAAGAGTCCCAAGTCTCTGGGCCATGTGACTAAGGGACAACTAGGATATTTGGAATCTGGAGACAGTAATGACTTAGAGAAGGAGCTCTTGGCCTCTCTCGGATAATTCTGGAATTGTTGGGGCAGAACTAAAGACCAGCCCCCGGTACCAAGCTGACTTTGGCCCGTCTGGTGTCCCTGGGCAGTATGGTGTAGGTGGGAGGGCTGAGGGCTCCCACTTCCTGTGTCCTTCCTATGTTTATCCTCCTTGYACCCCATCTCCATCTCAGGATGGTTTGTGGGCTGAAAGCATTCACATGTATCTGGGGTGGGMCTCTGTCTCCTGGGCAGAGTGGGGCCGAAGAGCGAGGCCTGAAGCATTACTGGTTCACATCCTGGCCGGACCAGAAGACCCCAGACCGGGCCCCCCCACTCCTGCACCTGGTTCGGGAGGTGGAAGAGGCAGCCCAGCAGGAGGGGCCCCACTGTGCCCCCATCATCGTCCACTGCAGGTGGGTTCTCCTAGCTACCCACTGGGATAGGGTCCCTCCCCATCCCTGGGTACTCTTCCCCTCACCCTGCCCGTCCCCTCGGCCCTCAGTGCAGGGATCGGGAGGACCGGCTGCTTCATTGCCACCAGCATCTGCTGCCAGCAGCTGCGGCAGGAGGGTGTGGTGGACATCCTGAAGACCACATGCCAGCTCCGTCAGGACAGGTCAGCCCAACAGGCAGTGGTGGGGGCACACAGGGACACTGATGGGTACACATGGGTGAGGGAAGATGACACACCAGGCATGGGCTAATGGGCAGATAAGAAATATGGAGGACAGCAGATAGAAGGGCAAGATCCAGATGATTCCTCTTCTGGAAGAAAGGGGAAGAGAGAGCTGGCAGACAGGATGGGCTGAGAGCATGGGACACATCATCTGTGTCCCTGACAAGAAAGATGAGGGACATTGGCTGGCAAGGGTTGGTCCCTCCAAATTGCACAAGGCCCCTGGCATGCTTCACGAATGATGAGTACTCCKTGGGTTTGGGGGCCCCCTCCTGTAACTCATCCCTTAGTGACTCCATCCCACTTTGCATCTCTGCTGGGCAGGGGTGGCATGATCCAGACGTGTGAGCAGTACCAGTTTGTGCACCACGTCATGAGCCTCTATGAGAAGCAGCTGTCCCGCCAATCCCCAGAATGACCACGCTTCTCTTCCAAGGTCCACTGGGCACTGCCCAGCCAGAGTCTGGGCCCTCACTACAGTCATCCAGGGCCTTTCCTTGGGTCTGGCCTGCTCCCCTGATCCTATCTGTCCCTCTTCCTTCTCTTTGATCTGGGCCCCTACCCCCAGCATAGCTCTTCCTTCTGTACATATTGGGGAGTGTGGCAGGGTGGGGGAGGAATGTGCCAGGCCAGGCCTGGGGCCCCAGGGCCTGAACCCCCAGGCAGACCTGGGGCCTTAGTTTTTAATGATGGTTCCATTGCTACTTGATCCAAAATGTTTCCATGCCTCACTCCAAGTGTCCTCCTGCTGCAGTGTGTTCTGTCTGTCCATCATCTCTGCTGTCTATACCGGACACTGTGTCTCCTCAGCCCAGGAAAGGAGTAATGAGCTCCAGCCCCTAAGCAGCCCAGGCAGAGGTGCCTGCCTCAGGCCCCCATTCCCACTTCTCCCAACAGGCAAATTGCATTTTGCACCCAGTTACTGGTACCAGTAGATACAGGATGGGGCTGACAACGTGGAGGCCAGGCCTGGGGAGCTCCTGAGGGTTTGGCAGAGATCCCAGCTAGGGAAGGTCTCTGGGTTGGGATGGGCGTCACAGCCAGGGTGACCTCTTGGTGTCACATGCCCTCAGGATTCATTGGAAGGGGACAGATGGGGGTGGGAAACCCAAAGATCTGGGCCCTGATGGGGGGCTGGGGAGGGGAKCTCCAAGGGTGGGACGGGGACTTGGCCCCAGATCTGCGTAAGACATTTTTCTGTCACTGTGGAAAAGCCTTCCCAAAAGTCTCGCTGTATGTCGCTCTGCGTGTGTTCCTGTGTCCATGTGTGTGGTGAGAGCCCATCAGCTGGGCATGCATGACTCTTTGGCAACATGTGTTATCTTGGAGCCACGTGTTTTTATTGATGACTTTAAATATTTATTCCACGGCAGACAGAGACATTTGGTGTCTTTTTATAATTCGCTCGTGGTCATTGAATAGAGCAATAAACAGAGCATTTTGAGCAAAACTAGCCTCCCAGGTCTTTGTGATTTACCTGTCCCCTGCACTCCATGGGGCTGTGTGCCCCTCTTTCCCAGCACAGGCACACACAGCTGGGCGCGCATGCTCACTGGTGCCCCTTGTGGAGACTCAAATCCAAAATTGAAAATAAGTCCCTTCTGCAAGATTCTCACACACTCTCAGCCCTATCCCACTAGGTGCCCTAGGCCATGGGGAGCCTCAAAGACAGTTGTGGGATGCTTCCAGAGAAGGCCCAGTGTCTGGCAGGCCTCTAGGTTCAACAGATGGGCTAGAGAGGTCAGGGCTGGGAAAAGGGGACACTCAGGTCACACTTAGGCCTCTCCTTGTTGTCAGCCCATATATCCCATGGTAGCCCCACCAGTCCCAACAGCAGCTGCAGCCCAGCAATTTCCCTTGTAAGGTCTGGACCGAGAGTAGCCCCTCCCAAAGGACCCAGGGAATCTGATCCTAAGCCATCCCAGACACTCCTGCTCTATTCTTATCCCCTTCCCCATGGGATGGAGCAAAAGTAGCTGTGACACCACTGAAGGTAGATGGGGGTCACCCCAGGACAGGACGAGGTGCAGGGTGGGACTTCTGGCCAGCCTTGCAAGATATTATAACCTTGAGTGGGTTGGCCGTGGGTCCAGATGTGCAGAGTATGCTACAGACAAGGAAAAGAACAGCAGGGTGGCTGAAGTAGCTCTCATGGAGGTCCCAAAGAAGGGGGCATGCTCTCCAGCTACCCTCCAATAGAGATCTCCCTCCAGAAGGATGTGCCCCTCTACCCAGATTACAGAAATGGTACAGAAATCCTCTCCTCTCTGCTTGGGCCGCACATGCACCACACATGGCAGTGTTCAGCCCCTTGGATTGGTGCAAGTGGCAGATACCCTAGAACTTCCCCAGTGCATCCCAGAAAAACAAAGACCTGTGGCTTTGCTCCCAACCCCTGCTGGACTATGCATGCACATATACCTGAGCATGTACATGTACACACACTGACAAGAGAACTTCGGCTCAGAGAAGTCCACACAGCAGCAGCGAGAAGCAAAACTCCTACCACAAGGGGAAAAAAAACGTACTTAGAGACCACCACCCTCTGCCTCCCTCCCACCTGGTCCCCAGCATTTCCTCCAGCCCTCCATGTTGCTTCCCTCCCCAACTTCTCACCCCTGAAGCTGTGTGCCATCCSGCTGAGGTAAGAGTCTAAGTAAGGGATCCCCCCAGGGGGCCAGGTATTTAAGGAACTGATGATCCTCAGTGCCCGCTGTTGGGGCAAAGAAGAAGGAGACGGACACCCTACAGCTCGGGCACCAGCTGAACCCCAAGCCGTGGATACAGCATTCAAGTATTGGAARGTACTGGTCAGTTCAGAAGGTAAGGCCTCCCTCATGCCCCTGGAAGCGGGCACAGGCTGGTAACTTGTGAGCCCCTAAGGGGACAGGGAAGAGGTGGGATAGGAGGGTAGTCTCAAACCACATAGCTCAGGAGAAGGCTTTTGGTTCCCTAGAAGTCCACTGGCCTGAAAGCCAAGAAGTTATGAATTGCCAGGCACAGTGGCACTTACCCGTAATCCCAGTGACTTGGGAGTCTGAGGCAGAAGGATCACAAGTTTGAAACCAGCCTCGGCAGGTTAGCAAGACCCTGTCTCAAAAAATAAAAAAGTCCTGAGATATGGCTCAGTGGTTAAGCACTCCTGGGTTTAATTTCCAACAACAACAACAAAAAAAAAAAAAGAAGCAGCAGCAGCAGCTAGGACCCTGTTCTGAGTAAGCTTGGACAGTGGACAGGTCATTTCTCTTAGGCATAATTTTCCTCATATACCAAATAAGGGTTTAAAATTGATATGCGGATTAAAGGAGGCAGGTATATACATTTATCAGATACTGTGGATCTGTTGAGAATGAAAAAATTCTTTATGAATTGGCATGCAAAGGTCTCCAAGATAATATTAAGTAAAAAATGAAAGGGGGCAGAACAGTGTGTATAATAGACATTAAAAAAAAAAAAAAAAGAACATACATCTGTGTTCTCACRAAGGAGCCTAAAGGCTACATACAGTAACCTCTCAGGGGAGCATGGGAGATGGGGCACCCAGGAGTGGGAAGGAGATGTTTTAATTTCTTTTTTAATGTGGTTGAACTATACTTATATACGTCATAAAATTATAATGAATATAAACTAAGCCTCTGTCTTTACTGTGTCATAAGTGAAAGCAAAGCTGTGGGAATGAATGGTCATCTATCTTAGCATTCCACCAAAGCCAGGGGTCCCTAGGACCCAGAGAGAAGATCCAGAGGTTCCTTCTAAGGAATGTTCCAGCATGGCTTAGTCAGGAAGTTCCTTCTCAGGTCCTGTGTCATTACCTCCTGGTGAAGCACCCATGTCCACAGGTATCCTCARCACCCTATGGACCCTACTTGGTTGGCTTACTTATTCTCAGCCCTGTATCTTCCCCTTCTAAGAACTTGGAATTGTTTTGGGTTACCTGGTGAGGGGACAGGCCTATTGGTACTTGTAATCAATCAGAGAAAGGGATAAGGAGTGAAGAAAAGAGAGGCCAGAGAGCAAAGGCCTGCTCTCCTCACCCTTTCCTCTGCATTCCCATTGCCCATACACCCACCCACACACATGCACTCACACATGAACAAACATCTCTGAATCACCCTCCTTCTCCCTCCCATGTTCTTTGTGGCCTCATTCTTCCCCTGGTCCTCACAGGTGAGTGCTCAAGTCTATTGTCACCATGACGACCATTCACCACCAGCAGATGCTGCAGGAGCACGTGTCCATGGAGTTCTCCAGCTCCACCACCCACATACAGACCTTCTCCCAGACAACCAAGATCGTGGGAGGCAAGTAGAGAAAGGGGGGTTGGGAAGGGGCAGCTTTATTCGTCCACACCTATCCTGGAGTAGCCTCAGTCCTTGCCACTAGTGGGCCTCTCAGGAGCCCGCAATACCAATAGCAACCCCCTTCCAACCTGTGCTTCTAATCTGGGGCTTGATAAATCTTCACCCAGCTGGATGTTCACCCATAGATCCAGGAAAACAGATTATGAAAAACCAGTCACATGGATGTGTGTGTGAAAGAYTGATAAAATCTAAATTGCTTAAGGMGACCTGAGGCTAATGGACTGTGTTTCCCATAGTAGAATTTCAACATGAGGAAAGATAGGAAGGTAGTCACCTTATCTACATATGAGTAATGCTGACACTGTTCCATTTAAGAAACTGGAGACTTGGCTACCAGTGGAGAGAGGATGAACACATAAACAAGTGACCTAAGCTCCCAGGTTCTTAACCCTTGGGGACCAGACTTGGGYCAGGATAGATCCAAGAGAAAGTTGAGAAAGGGTCTCAGAGCACTGCRGACTGTTTTAGTTTAATGTCTCTAGTGGAAAGTGATTAAAAGATGGCCAGGGGCCATCCTCACAATCATTGCCTCTCCCTCAAGGTTCCAGAAGGATAGAGTCTCTCAAAGTCCTCTGTGCACAAGGTCAAAGTCAGATAAACATTCTAGACCAAGCACTCCTGGCTAATGAGGCAGAGTAGGTAGAACAGCCAGGACCCAAGGTCTAAATTCTAAACCAGAAGTTGCAAATTCAAGTGATTTATATCAATGGTTYTCCTCTCTGGTCACATAATAGAGCAACCTTAGTTTAGTGGGTGGAGAAGGTGAAAAGAATGTCAATACCTAAGTTTCACTCCAGACCATTAAATCAGTTATTCTCATAAAGCTCTCCAGGGATTCTGATGTGTAKCCAGAGTTGAAAACTACTGACCAACAGAGTCCATGCAGTGAATATAAATGTGGGKAAAGGATGGGTAAACTGGAGAGGACACTCCATCTAAAGGACAGCCACATCTCACCTCCCACTGACTGTTAATGTGGGAATGAGTTCAGTGTTGAGAATACAGCAATCTGAATTTTTAYGTGAACTATTTCAGTTTTCAGACATAGGGTTGCTTTTTTGTCTACATATTGCAGAGGTCAAATAAAAGACATCTTCAGGCCAGATACAGCCTCCACACAGCTATTTAAGAACTCCAGTCATTATTTCAAAGAAGACCATGAGAGCTTAATAGGATTATGGTTTGGTTTTGTTTTCTCATCTTGATCCTTCCARTTAATGGGGATGCTAAAGGCACCTACTTCCGTGGAATGCTGTGAATATTAAATAAAATCATCTCTGATATGTGCCTACCATAGTTTCTTGTACAAGGAACATGCCCCATAAATGAGAACAATTGTTATTTGTTGATAACTCACCAGCTAAGAAGATTTTCTGTTGTTTATAGTGCTAAAATAGTTTTTTGTTT